AATATCCTTTTATGGAAGCATTATATAAATTTTATAAATACATTTAGAGGTATTTTTTAAATTACAAATTTTGTCAATGCCAAATTTTTGTAATTAAAAAAAAAACCCACCCTCAACCCCACCTCAATTGAAGGAGTAGTAAATTTAAATGATCACTACTTCAAAACGTCAAAACTTTTTTTGACGAAATTTAAATTCTATCGATAAATTTCGATATAATATAAGAATACACAAAGCCTTTTTAAAAATTTAGTTTTCCTTGCTGTCTTTATAATTGTTCCAAATCTCTAATTACGATAATTTTATAAAAAACATCCTAAACTGACACCAGCATAGATAAACAAAGTTTAAAGTTTGGCGCATGTCTGGAAACTATATTTGGCAAAAAAATCCTCTCTCTCTAAGCATGTTTAGTATATGCTTATAACTCAAAAAATCTGTGAATTATTTTCACATTTCTATAAGCATAAAATTGGTATATTTTTTTAAACTCGTGTTTAAACCTTTAAGTGAAAAAATTTTAAGTAAAAATATAATTTTTACGCATGGAATATTTAGGTTTAAAAAAAATACTTATTTTAAAACTGTTTAATAAATGAAGTAGCTTTTATTGCTTTACTTTATATTTGAGATTGAAAAAGATTCAGTAACAACTACTGATAGTTTAGGATGCAATAACGTTATATAATAACGTTGGATTAACGTTGGAGATGGAAAAGATGGCTTCCGTTATATTTACCAACGTTATGTTGGATTTTCCAACGTTATTCAAAGTTAATCTGTAGTTTTAATGCTTTAAAGTAAAAGATTCATCGGAACTCGAAACACGCTGATCAGTGCATCGCTGATCAGTGCATCGGAACACGCTGATCAGTGCATCGGAACTCGAAACACGCTGATCAGTGCATCGCGCTTTCCACTACTCCGTTCAATCACACAGATCAAAGAAATATTTACTAATATATATCAACATTTCATAACAAAAATATTTTAAAAAATTCGAATATAAAACTCACTTTGTATCGGTGAAAAGTTAAAACTATTAATTATAATTTAATGGTAATCCTATAATTAAGCGGCGTAAAGTAATTTTATTTTCGCGTTCTTGTTCGTATAGACTTTAAAAATATCATTAATTATTTATTAAAAATATTATTTTTATTATTTTAAATATTTTTTTATGACATTTAATAACTATCACTATTATAAATATATGTAAATAATCAGTATAAATAATTATTATTATGATTTATTGTTTCTTTTTTTTTATATATGCATTTATACACACTTCTCCGTTTTATCAAGACAAAAAATTAAAGTCGGCTTAACAGTAGGATTACCTAATAATATTTATTTTTCAAAAACTAAGTTTTCCAAAAATTTTATAGTTTAAAAAGAAATATATATATATATATATATATATATATATATATATATATATATATATATATATATATATATATATATATATACATATATATATATATATATATATATATATATATATATATATATATATATATATATATATATATATATATATATATACATATATATATATATATATATATATATATACATATATATATATATACATATATATATATATATATATATATATATATATATATATATATATATATATATATATATATATATATATATATATATATATATATACATATATATATATATATATATAAAAGTTCATTATCGTGTTTAAAAGGGATTGTAGTGAAATATACAGTTCTTACATCAATTTTGTCATAATTTCCTGTATAAATATTAATAATAAAAATTACTCAAAAATTGAAGATGATAAATTTATGTGGGTGGGGTGGGGGCCCTCCACATGGATATGGAGCCCCCCCCCCCCTACATATATATATTTATTATCTTCAATTTTTAAGTAATTTTTATTATTAATATTTATACAGGAAATCATGACAAAATTGATGTAAATACTGTATATTTCACTACAATCCCTTTTAAACACGATGATGAACTTTTAATTTTAATTTCTTCATTTCCAATTTTTTGGGGGCCCCTTAAACGTTGGGGGCCCTAGGCAGCTGCCTTATTTGCCTTATAGAACGGTCCGGCACTGTAATATATATATATATATATATATATATATATATATATATATATATATATATAAATATATATATATATATATATATATATATATATATATATATATATATATATATATATATTTCTTTTTGAACTATAAAGTTTTATGAAAATTTAGTTTTTGAAAAATAAATATTATTAGGTAATCCTACTGTTAAATTAAAATATCCTCAAACATTGTGTAGATAGGTTAAATATATATATATATATATATATATATATATATATATATATATATATATATATATATATATATATATATATATATATATATATATATATATATATATATATATATATATATATATATATATATATATATATATTTCTTTTTGAACTATAAAATTTTATGAAAATTTAGTTTTTGAAAAATAAATATTATTAGGTAATCCTACTGTTAAATTAAAATATCCTCAAACATTGTGTAGATAGGTTAAATATATATATATATATATATATATATATATATATATATATATATATATATATTATATATATATATATATATATATATATATATATTATATATATATATATATATATATATATATATATATATATATATATATATATATATATATATATATATATATATATATATATATATATATATATATTTAACCTATCTACACAATGTTTGAGGATATTTTAATTTAACAGTAGGATTACCTAATAATATTTATTTTTCAAAAACTAAATTTTCATAAAATTTTATAGTTCAAAAAGAAATATATATATATATATATATATATATATATATATGTAATCCTACTGTTAAATTAAAATATCCTCAAACATTGTGTAGATAGGTTAAATATATATATATATATATATATATATATATATATATATATATATATATATATATATATATATATATATATATATATATATAAACGTTGGTTACAATAGGGTGAGACGACCCCCTTATTGTAACCAACGTTTTTGCAACTTTTGATGAAAAAATAATATTAGTGTAACCAACATTATTAAAAATTTGTATTTCTAATTTAAAAATAGCGTTTGCGTAACTAACGTTATATATAACATTAGATTTAGTTGGTTGATGTCACCCGACATAAATCCAACGTTGGATCGACGTCGTGTGCTCACTGGTACTTGTTTCGTACATTTAATTAAAAATATTTTTAATCAATTACATGTTTTATATCAAATTTTGTTAATAAAAATATTTTATTTTGAACAATTTTATGTAACTAATTTTAAAATCTCAAAACAAAACCCAAGGTTTCGGTTTCCAAAATACTATATAATTTAAATGAAAATAACCAAAAAATAATAATTTGAAGAAAAAAATTATTTAATGAATACATGAAATAAAAATTACAGATTTTTTAGGTTTATACTCATTTATCATATATGCAAAGTCAGGGGGGCGGATGTAGGTTAGAAGTTTTTTTGGGGCACTTGAGAGCTTTTGTATCAAAGTGACACCATTATAAATATGCAAAGTTTAAAGTATCAAAGTTCAAACTTTATATATTTATACTGGTGTCATTTGATGATATTTTTTACAAATATATACTTTAAACTTTAAAGATGTTAAAAAGATGTTTCTTTTGGAAACCTATGTTTCGAATCAATAGTAACTATTTTTTTTTGTTTTTGTTTTTTTTTATATTTATATTATACTTGATAACGATCTAAACTCCCTTGAATATTTTAATAAAAATTAATTTAAAAATAAAGAGTTACTTCCATAGTAGATGTTTTTATTTAGTTATATAAATTAAACTTTTTAAAGATGTCTTTAATAATTTAAATTAAAAAAATATATCATAAAAATTTAAAGATATAGTTAGTATTTAATACCGAAAATATCTCAAAAATTTATTTTATACGTCAAATAATGGTCATTCGGCACATGGTTTAATATTTGTAAATTTAAATTTTTTTAAAATTGTACAATTTTCAAGATCAGTTTAACAAAAATAAATACAAAGCTAACATTGCTCCCTAGGGGCATTTAGATATTACCTATCCATTCTAATTCAACAGTGGTATTCACTATGTAATAAACAAAAAGAATGAAAAGATAATACTTAATGGGATCGCCCATAAAGTACGTACGCTCGGACGGGGGAGAGAGGGTTTGCAAATGGCGTATGTAAGATGGGGGGGGGGGGGGAAGTAGATCAATTATAAAAGTATGAAGACACTAAATTTAAAAAAAATATCCTTAAACATTGTGTAGATAAGTTAAAAGCGTATGTACTTTTAGGGAGGTGAAGGGTATTCAAAAAAGCTTATATCAAAATGTAGGGGAGAGGGGTGAGGGTTGAAATAAAAGCGTACGTACTTTATGTTTGACCCCTTACCATATTCGATAAGAAAATACAGACATCTTTAAATTCAAATATTACCCTAATTTTTTTAATTTCTTGCAATTAAAAAAAATTAATTGCGTTTTTAAACATCGAAAAAATATTTATATTAAAAATTTTGATTTCTTTAAATTTAAAATTAGAAATCTGCTTAGGTTAATTTTTTGTTCAATGTCGTCAAATAAATTTGTTTGGCCTTGAAAGTAAAAGTTGAACATATAAATTTTTAAAGCCATAATCTTTGATGAACCATTGAGATCTATATTTTTATGAGTAATAATTTATTTTTGACTTATTTCATGTCTTACTTTATGCAAAATATAACATTACTGTTTCACATCATAACTTCCATTTTTCAAAATAAGTCCGACATATGATGCCTTAGTATTTTCTTTCTCTACTCTAAAATATTCAAAATAATCTTCCAAAATCAGTAACTTTACTGAATTCGTTTTTTGTAAATATAATTTACAAGGAAAAAGTCCATATAATAAAAACAATATCGAAAGAATTACTTACTGTTTTTGTATCTCTTGAAAATAAACCCTTTCGATAAGCGTTACGAAGTAAATAGATTGCTTCTAAAAGATCCGCATCAAAAGATTGATTCGATTGATCAAAGTTAAGAATATTTCTCCATTCATCCTCACTCAACATGATGTTATCAGCATCCCTCCTTAGTTTTTCACAGGCTTTTTGTAATTCCCTGCTGCTAAAGATTTCCTCTTTTTTAACTCCAGAATTCGATCTATATAATATTAAATCGTCCAGGTTTTCCGTATTTTTTGCATTGTCTTTAATTTGATTAGCATATCTTCCGTTATTACGGTGCTGCCAATATGAAGAGTTTTTGTTTTCTTGGTAGTTGTGGCAATAATCCCCTTGACTGTAATTGCGTCTTTCAATATGAGGAGTTAATGTTGTGTCCGGTTGATTGTATAGTTTAGACACATTAGGTTGGCTTGTTGCTCTGTACAATGGTTTTCTTTTTTCTTTCAAAGAAAATAATTGTGAGCAAGATATTTTATTAATACTTTGAACGTTATTAGAAGAAGCACTGCCTATTGACTCAATTGATAAACATGACATGATTGGTGCATTGAGATAGTAACTCAATAAAAACTAAAATTGATAAACAAGACACAATTGTTTCATCGAGATGATTAGTCAATGAAAACTAAAATAAAGCAAACTTAATTTTAAAACTATTAGTCAAAAAAGTTAAATGATGTTGCTAATAGATTATTGTTGAATATTTAGTTATAAAATAAAAGAATTATTATATTAATAGCAGGGCCGGTCTTCTACTTCTAGGGGCCTGGGGGCGAAAATTATTTTTGAGGATCCAAATATATAAATATATAAATAAACAAAATTTGTATTTATAAAAATCAGGAACATCTTCCTCTATTTTTGATGTAGGTGGAACGTTTTCTTTTATTTTAGTTGTAACAGGAATATCTTCCTCTATTTTTGATGTTTATGGAACGTCATTAGAATGGATTTTACCTGGTTGCATTGGTAAATTTTCAATTTTTGTTTACAATTTATGGTTTTAAATTTTCTTTTGTTATCAATTGTTTTGAGTTCATTTTATGTTTTTCTAGTGTTTGTTATTTTTCACTGCTTTTTTCTTTTTTGCTCTAGACAAATATTTAAACTGGCATTTTAAAGAACCTATATATATTATATTGGCACTTTTAAGAACTTGATTAATATTATTTACACATACATAATTTAATAAAACGAACTTATCTTTAAAAATTCATTTTTTATAAACGTACACTTAACTTAATAAAGTGAAAATATTTTAAAACATTGTTTTAAGAAAAACGTACACTTAACTTAATAAAATGAAAATATTTTAAAACATTGTTGTAAGAAAAACTACGCCTAACTTAACAACTAGAAACATTTATTTACTAATTATTCGTAAAAATATAAACAATTTAACAAAAAATAAGTAATTAAAAAAAAACTAGCGTTTGAAAGAACATGACAAGTTATATTATAACATGATAGGACATGAACATATCCTTAACGTATACTGGATCATGTAATGTAAGGATAGAACATGATGACACTCTTAACATATACTAGGGCAATTATTATATTTATGCTAACATTTGAAATGAAATATTATAACATATTATAACATGATAGGACATGAACATATCCTTAACGTATACTGGATCATGTAATGTAAGGATAGAACATGATGACACTCTTAACATATACTAGGGCAATTATTATATTTATGCTAAAATTTGAAATGAAATATTTTACTTCAATTTTGGTAATATTATTTTAAAAATATATTTAGAGTAAACTTAAATTATAACCTCTTTTTAATTTATTATAACTTTTTATTTTATTTGACTTGTTCGAACAATTTTATACCCAAATACTCCATTGTTGTTGTTATTTTTTTAAGCACGTGACTCAATGGTGTAAATATAATTATTGGATAATAAATTAAATTTACTAAATTTTATTTTAATGATCCAAAAAGTAAAAAATCAAAAAAAAAAAATCGTTTTGTATAACAAGCATTATATTCTATTTAATTTTATTCCATTTTTTATTTATTCCATTTATTTTTACTTTATTTTTTCAGTTGATATAAGAAAAATAAGTTGAGAAAATAAATAAAGTATTTATTTTAAATTTTAGATATTTGAGAAATAAATATGAAATCAAAGTAAATATAATCTTAACCCAGGGTTAAGATTATATTTACTTTGCATTTTTTAGGGTGCCCAGGGCGGTGGCACCCTAAAAAATGCAAATAATGTCGCTGATTTTAATACATTAAAAAAAATACAGTAAATTAAATACACAGATGTACATTTACTGTACATTTAGATGTACATTTGACTGCTTCAACAAAATCCTTATTAATAATGCAACTTTAATGGAAAAACATTAAATAAATAAAACGCAGAAACGTTTTTCACTAATATGTAGGTCTTTCGAGTAAGACAAAAACTCTGATCAATTTAAATTAAGATAAATATTTAGGTGACTCAATCTGTACGATACGTTCAAGCGAAGAAATTAAGTCTACTCACATTAAAATGCTTCACTTTCACTATGGTAAAGTTTTCGTTGCAGGTTTACTTTAATTCGAAAAAGCATTTTCGTATATTTTCTTTTTCATATACTTCATATATAACCTTTTAAGAGGTAATAAAAATACAGAAACGTTTTTGTTACATTTAAAGCTAACTTAAGAGTAAATGCAGTAAATCTTTAGGAATTATGTTTTTCCTAAGTTTTTTTTTGTGTTTTTTTTTTCTTATTGCGTGTTTAAATTAAACAAACGATTAATTAAATGCAAAACGCTTTCTTTTGTCCTTTATCTTTACAAATATCTTATTATACAGTAACTATGGTGAAAATTAGCAAACGCATCAAAAACTAAGCAAACATTTTAAAAAATACAATTGAAAAGATTAATTTATATATATATATATATATATATATATATATATATATATATATATATATATATATATATATATATATATATATATATATATATATATATATATATATATGAACGCAATATAAGCAGGGGCAATTTTTAGGCAGAGGGTTGGGAAATATTGAAATAAATTACAATTTGAATATAGCCTTCTTTGCGGTCACACATCCCAAAAAAGAACGGAAAGTATTACAGTCGGTTTTTTTGTGGAATATAGCCGGCTATTTGGCATTTGACACATTTTTTCTGGCAGATTTGAGGTTTGAGGACTTTTTCTCTTTTTTACAGACAGCAGTCGGAAGTTTTGAAGGTTTTGCCCCCCCCCCCCCCCTCCTTTGATTTTATTCTTAGAACCTTCTCTGAATATAAGATGTAGTTGAACGCAATAATATGTACATTTGAATGATTTTTAGGCAAGGGGAGTTGGGGTAGTGTTAAAACAAATTATATTTAAAAATAGTTTTCTTTGGTAGTCACACATCCCCAAAGACGAATGAAAAGAAAAACAGCCGGCTTTTTGTGGAATATAGTCAGATAGTTGGCATTTGACACATTTCATTCGGCAGATTTTTAGTTTTAAGGATTTTTTTATGCACTTAATGCATTTTTTAAAAATGTATTTAGTGGATTAAGAAAAAGATTTCAATCAGTCGAAATGAAAAAAGTCAACACAGCGTTTTACTGCATCCATTCCTAGACGCAGGGATATGTGTATCTCCGATATTCGGATAAATAAGTAAAGTAAACTAAGACAATTGAGAATATATTCAGTTTTGCATTAAATTTTAGGTCTTAATGTGGATATTCGCTAAGTATTTTCATTGACATTTTAATTTTTTGTCGCTCAAAATTACCTTGCTTTAATATTGCGTTAATTTTATATTGCATTACTTTTTATTGCGTTGCTTTTATATTGCGTTACTTTTGTATTGCGTTGCTTTTACATTGCGTTGCTTTTATAAAGCAGGTAGTTTAGGAAAGACAGGTAAAAAAGGAAATTTTTCAGAAAATTGCTGCATTATTAAACCGCGATATAACAATACACGCCAATCTCTTCTTGAGTAAGAAATAAAGACAACAAGAACGAAAAAGAGTCTGCAAAAGTGTTGTAAAAGTTCTTAGTAATTTGGCTCGATTATTGGGTAGACAAGGAACAACAATTAGTTTTAGACAGATTTTAGACCGTTTGTGTAATTTATGTCAAGATGTAAAATATACAAACAAAACGGTGTTTCAGCAACTCATAACTTTGAAAATTTATGAGGGACAAATCCCGAAAAACTGCATTCAATTTTTATTTGTTTGATGTCAATACTGCTTTGTTTTAATAATATGATTACATCAGATTTTGCATGAACTCTTTTAAAGTAATAGATATAATCTCAAGCAACTTTAAAAGAGTTAATGTAAAAATTTTAGAACTGTTGAAAATAGTTATACTTTCTATTCCAAGTCAACTCAAATTAATGTCATTAAGCATGTGCTTACGTTTATCATGCTTGAATACTTTTGGAGCTCTTAAAATGCTTTGTGGATTTATTTCTTCAAGTAACAAACAATTAAACACAACTTCTTGAACAAAATAGATATTATGAACATAATGCACATTGTAAAAAATACCGCAATTAGAAAATGTAGCAAATATGAACTCGATGCGTTAAAACACTTGACAATATTTATTGATAAATATTAATTTTAAAATTATTTGGTGACAAACTTGGTACACTAGTAACATCTTGATTTCGACTAGAAAAAAACGCATTATTTTTAATTTGATAGCTAAAAACAGTTTGCAATGCATATAACATTTAAAATCAATTAGAATAATAGCAGTTCATTTGTAGTTTGCAGAACCTTGATTGTAGAAAAATTTATCTACAAAAGTTTAATGTAAAAATGTTTGAAACAGCTAATTGCTTAAATTGATTCAAATAATTTTTTCGGGGCAGTGGTACTTGATGATACATATTCAACAACTTTTTTTTCAAAATTCAGTTCTGAAAGTTTTTAATTGACTTTTTTTAATAATCCTGACATTTTATAAAAGATTGTTTAATGATAGTATTAAAGTTTAAGTAATTCATTTTTTGTTTGCTTATTTATAGACAAGATTTTGAAATACAAATTCAAATTTATTTGTATCCTAAACCAGTTAAATATGAAATAAAGTTGTATTAACGCTTTAAAAGTATTTTGAATAACGTAACTTAAAATAGTTTTATTTCCGTTGATTACTGTTCAACATTCTTAATAACTTGTTTTAATTAAGTCCGTAGCATATATTTAAATTATATTATATTAGGAATCATATGAATTTCTGATAAATAAAATCTTTTGAAAAATATTATTTTAAAATGTTCTCAGATTTATCAAGAAATTTTCAGGAAATGTATTTCTATATTAAGTTTATTATATACGTACTAAAATATATTTCATATGTATATATATTAATACAATTATATATCAATAACAATGTTCACAAAACTAGTAGTTAATTAAATCAAAGTTAATTAAAAAAGAAAGCAGAAAGCTGCTGCACTAACGATGAAATCGAATTTTAATTTGTCTGCAATTACTTAGATTTATTATTTAGAATTAAATTAGCACGACCTCCACGCTATGAAGTATAAATTTGTCACCAGTTTAACAAACAATATTTATAAATGATCAGTGCCGTGGCAATTGGGTTA